GTGTGCCTACCGAATGACACGGAGACGTTCAATATTATTGGTCATGGGAATAAGTGTGTACGGTTCGCCCGCTGATGTTTCGGAATCTCTGTTTTTCTCTAATAGCCCCCCGCCGTTCTGGCTTTCACGACTGCATCGGTTCTGTTCGGATGAATTTGCTTAATATGAACAGTTGTGGGAGTCACCCCTCCCCCTGGATGTCTGCTGGCCAACTGATGGCGCTTGTGTGGCATGCATAATTTAGTATGCTGTCAGGAAGTTTTCAATTTCAGCATTTGCTTCAATCGTTTCCTTCTTGACTGACATATCCACGCGCCAGGGTTATGTTGGGAATCACGATGGACTGTGCATGTAACTCTCGATCTGGATTGAGTAAAAGCCGACACAAAAGTTGTTGGTTTTGCACACAAAGATGAGTGGTCTACTAGAAAAATTTTGAACCTGTCAGTAGAATATCACAGAACAAACTTCATGGAAGGCTGAGGTTATTACACTGCCATGTCAAAGTACTGTTGAGGTTCTACAATACCACCTACTAGAAGAGGCTCCGCCCCTTTGATACGTCGGGGAAAGAGATTTTCTGATAATTCCCACTTCATTTACATTGGGAAAGTGATGGTCTTTGCTTAAGCATGTGCGATTCCGGTGAATATATTTGAGTTAAAACCCACTTGCTTAGAGGAAAGCGGGTTGTGTAGAAGCTCAGTCCCAAAACGAGAGCTAAGGATTAAATGTTTAACGGTCCAACTTGTATGGTGACTTAGACGGCGTTACATCCTCTGTTGATTTTTATGAAATGCTGATACGGTAACCAGTCAATGATCTATCCATTTTTGAGACCTGTGTACAGCCTGAATATGATCGGAAAACGAAATTTTCTTATCCACGTTGGATCCTGGCTTCGTTTTTGAGTCAACGTTCGTTTAAATGTCACCTGTAAGTTAGAAACCGTTTGAGCATTTCTTCAAACGGTATTCGTCATGGAACGGAATCACTGCGTTCACATATTCGATGAGTTCCCTTTCAGATGGGCTCAAGATCTGTGGTACGTAGCTAATGCCAACATCCCTACAAGCTCCAACAAGACTCGCAATATCACTTTGACTGGCTGGTGAATTTTTTCCGTTTAAAAACGCACTAGAGAGAGCTGACATCAAAAGCCATTTCTAGGTTTAAAACCACTGATCAAGATCGGCCTCGAGACAGGTAAAAATTGCCGAACAAAGGAAATATGGAGGTAATCCATAATGTTTTCTTCTGATGACCGGATTCGCATCCTACTCCATGCAATTTGGGTTGTTGAAAATGGGATCAAAACACCCAATGAACCTTAAATTTACACTTTTGTCTGTCTTGGATCCTTAACCAGGATGTATAGAAACACATAAATGGTATGAAAACCCAACGCAGATAGCTTAATCACCAAGGAACAGTAATAGGTATGCTAAGTGCCGCACATTTGAAGCGGGGAAATAACAGGACAGATGTATATATCCTAGGCAAATCCGTTATCCCCACCACTTGCTAACTCACAGAATCCTTTTACATGGTCGCATGACGTGGATAGACTGCTGCTATTAAATTACGATGCACTGTAAGGCCGCTTTTCATATATATCAGTTCAAATCCGTCTTTCTGATTGACAACGTACGTGTACTGGGCGAAGTGATCTTGGCTTGCAGCCCACTCTGTAGTAAAATACACTGAAAATACAGAAGACATTGTATTGATTGCCATGTGAATATTGAGGTATTTCAGTTTTCGAGAAATGCTTACCCATGCATTATGGCAAGAATGAACTACTCGCCGGTTCTTTTTGCTGTAAGTTTACGTACAGGCTAAAACTCACCGTGAAGCTCCAATGCCAACGCTGCGTTTTCTCATCTTAAAGATCGTAGTGGAGGGATTTCACGCGCCTCCTATAAGAAGCGATGTCCGAAACACTGACGGAGGCATGATGACACATCATCGCTATGAAATCTGAAGCGGAAATGAGCAAAAGCATATTGCAAAACTGTTGGATATGCAGGACGACGACACAGTTTCGGTGGTACTACAATGTGTTCTTTTCTATTATCGTCATCTCACATTTAAGTTACTTTTCTCCCAATTTATCTGTGAGGATTACGGGGAACGGAGACTTTTGTTCGCCTTAACAAACCATACGCATCGGGCAGACCTTTTAGCATAAAGCATCATACATGTGGAGTAGACTAATTGATCTCCTGGACAGGGTACTATAGCTTCACTGATCCTCTTGATGTGTTGTGATACCGCCAACTCTCTTAGAAAATCCTACTGAAACGGATCAAAAGCCCAATGCGTGAACGAAGCAATTGTTACTTCATTAACGTAAGCTAGTAGGTTTCCCTTCCTAATCATAAATTTCAACAGTCATCTGAGTATATGCCCAAACAATTGCACGAATTAGTAGACTACGTGTTCCGGAATGTCACTGCAGGATCAACTTTCAAATGTTCCTGACCCCCTTGCCAAGACAGCGTGGTTCTGTAGTCACTTGTCTAGCCTACGTGTGACATTTGTTCTCATACTGGTCTCCAGAGAATCTCATAAATAATTTTTGGTAAACCACAGATGCCCCGATCGAACTGTGTCCTAACAATGCAGCAGACTCAAAATAAACAACAAATCGTCAGCGCGTAAACGCCAATTTAAGGAACATAGAGTGTGTTTATGTAGAAAAGGGATCCAGAAGCCGTTAAATCAATCACTTTTGTGGGACTGTGCTTGAGTCTGGAATATCAGATTTCTCCCCATCCGTTCGACAAATGGCCAGAATGTTGCTTTCTTAGGATCGCTGGTGAAAACGGTTGCCTCATAATTGCTTCTCCCCAAAAGCCTGCAAACAGCGATGGCAGTATACAGGATGCTTCCATGCGTAAAACAAACATATTTAGTACTCGCGCTGTAATCGGATTGATATTGCTCCAACTAGGTAAGGACCGTTCGAACGGAACAGGTAGAAGATATGTCCCAGGATTCCGTGATTTCGCTTACTTCCTGCACCCGCAAGCTACCAAAATAGTCTTGGTCACAAGATGATGATAAAAAGGGTAGATCTGAATATTTCTTTGAATATCTTCGTGTGGTATTAGTGTGTCCTAGAAATTGCTCGACTGGAATGTCGAATCTTGTGGAATGACTGCTTGAGTTAAAATGTCGGATTTCGGATTCCAAATTTGCACTTTTTGTGTCATGGCAAGCGAACATGCTGTACCACGAGGTGTGGGTAATGGTGAGCCGTGTTTTACCGAGATCATCGCAAGGAGAAATAGACTGATCGGACACACTTTACGAATGGCTTGGGATACTTAAGTTCGGAGTACCAAAGACGGGCAACCTTATACAGTATCTTACTCTACGACGTGACAAACACAACCCCACTCCTGAATTTTCATTTGCATCGGCCCGTATGGTTTCAAGCTGTTTCTAATGTGCAAAACTTGTTCTACGGGTTCCTCTAGGAAATGAATGAAAATGACTGTATCCGGAAATTTACACCTTCTTGCTGCCGTATCCGTTTTTTTGTAGATAATGGCACATGGATATCTGCTGCCATCGTAGAGAATCGGTGTAAGTATAATTAAACCACGGACTAAACCAGGGGAGGTCGGTAGACGCTATTTTTGCACTCTGTTCGCCAGTCATTTACGATTTATATCAAAAACGAAAATGTTATTAAAACATCCGGATGAAATCCTGGTGCGCTTCAATAAAAATCAATTTGCCTTGACGCAAAGATGTTTTGTTTGGAGGTGTACAGCGATTCAGTTTTTAGGTCACGATCTGAAGAACCTTTGGGACAAAAGTCTTCGTGTCTCTCCCCCCACCACCGCCAATTTTAACGGTATACCATATCTGTGGTTTTGACTGCTCACTGATTTGTTGGCCCCTATTAGATGCATTCTCAAACACATTATTAAAATAGTGTCGTTGTTCAAAACAGTGAAATAACGGTTGTATAGATCTTTTGGGATTTTTTGCTTGTACCATTCAATGAGTTTTCGGATAAACTCCACCAGAATTCGAGGTTTCATATCAAACCTTTAGTTATCTTTGTTTAGAATTCAGTAAGCATCATGAGGGTCTGGGGATGCACTTACGGAGGCAGGAAGTTCTGCTCTCTGTGTGTTTACCAGGCTGACGTAGCTTTAAAGGGTTAGTCCCAGTACTGCATATTCACAAAATTGTCAATAGTCCCTTCGAGTTCCGAGGTATAAGGGCACAATAGAATCTGTCTAGCTAACAATGTACCGCACCAGTAACTGTGTTCCGACTTACTTTGAGTTAGTCTGTTTGAGCTGTGTAAACTTCGACTTAGCTTTAAAACAATAGTTCAAGAGTGGTGTATGAGAATGTTAATTTTGGTTCTGGATGCACTAACACTAAGTCTTAGATACCCATCTGGAAACTAAATCTGATCCAACATGGGATGGGAAACTCCTTTTTAAAGGGGTAAACCCAAATGCCGAATTCCTTAAAACCGAAGCCATTGGTTAAGGACTATATGTCCATTAAATTCGACCATGAATCAATCGATATCATGAAAAGTAACCCCGTTCGGCTACTGTTGTCTCCTTTCACTGTGTGAACATTGATCTTCAACTTCGCAACACATCCTTTTAGCACTCATTGCTGATTGGCTATACGTCTTGAACACGGCTTCGGCGAACGTCGCACACATGTGGTAAGCTTGAAAGGGGTGAAGAAAGGTACTGTCTAGCCAGGGGGTGTGCGTTCGCATCGAATATCCCAGAAACGCAGCCAGTACCTAAGCGTCAATTGGTTGAAAGCAAACGCGCCATTGTCTACCACCGAATATGATTGGCTCGCGTTTGTTCATCCCGATTGTGTGCACACGGGAAAAATTCGCGGATCAGTTGTGAATGAAGGAGAAGCAGATGGTTGGTTTGTAGTATCTTTGTCCCATTCATCGTGATCCGTGCAAGTGTTTGAAACACTGGCAAGTAAATTCCACAATGAGTGACTCACTGTTGGTAACTTCGGGAGGCAAAAGACGTGGAAGGAAGCCAGGATTGAACAGCACAGTTGCTCAAAGAAGTGCGGCAAATGCTCGTGAACGCTCTAGAATGCGGGTACTGTCTGGTGCATTTGTGGAGCTTAAAGGTGCCCTGCCTTGGGTACCAAAAGATACAAAGTTGTCAAAACTGGATACGCTCAAACTCGCAGCTGGTTATATAGCCTATCTTCGTCGAATCCTGGACACCGCATCTGATTCAGATGACAGTCCCCAGGAGGATGGGTTGACTTGCTCCAACTCGCCTGAAAAATCGTTGAGCTTGTTCAGTCTGACAACACATACAGGACAGTCTTTGAAAAGTTGTCTGGAAACAAGCCGACTACAGCACTTTCGAACAGCTCATGATCGATCGGTCAGCGAATCGGAGTTTTATCCGGGAAGAGCCACTTGTGAACTAGGCTCATCTTTATGTCAGGAAATACGTCCATTCCTGGGTATTCCTTCGGACTGCATATACTCTGAAGACATCTTCAGCAACGAGAACAAGGCAAGTAGAAACAAGGAGGTTGTTCCGGAGTCTAAGTTTGGATCGACACCTCCACAAGACCACTGTTTGTCTACAGTTCATTCAAAGAACTCCTGGCAAAACTACCACTGTAGTAACAAGGTAAGTAAAGCTGTATGACGCTTAAAACACTAATTCGTGAGTTACCACTCATTTTTGTTGCCACTTTTGTTCGAGGGAGCGAGCAGCAGATGTAAGGAGGTGAATGAATCAAACTGGAGAATTTGAGGCCATGAGGGATGATAGAGATATGTTTACTCGCATTGGTATTCTTATTTTACCCATCCACACCACGTAGGTAGCCGTTATCACATTGAGTTTGTAAATATACCCGGGTGACCTGGGACACTTTCGTGTTTTTAGGCTTTGTCAACGACACTAGTGGCATTAAGTCGTACCGTCACCCACGTGGGTAGTACAGTTTTGTTGGACAGATTTGAGCGCGAATTTGCTTGCCCGAAATGAGCCTTAATTAGCTCATTGAGATTTCAGTGTGCCTTGTTAAAATGAAAGCCACACATTCGCAGCTAACCAGATCCGTGGTGCGTTGATAAATTAGTATGACTGAAAACAACAATCGGGTATGACTTCTACTCAAAAAGTTGCTGCATGACTTTGGTTTCGGGAAAAAACTCAAATTCCGTATTCAGTATCACCAGAGAGAACCATGATTTTTCCAGTTATTCGCACCGAAACAGGAGTTTATCAGCTAAAGGGTCTCGGATTTTTCTTCGGTTTTATATTCACCCACTTAGCCACGGTTTATTACATAACATGATATATGAAGCAATATGCATAGGGTATTATACAGTTATCAATATGTACACGTCACCTCAGAGGAAATAATTTTGGGCTTCTTTTGCTGAGGGTTCTCCATGTTTGAAGGGACCACATATTAGGAATAGTCCAGGTTTGTCGAAGCCTTTGTTGACAGGTATGCATATGCAGTATTATATTATTTTATAAACTGGTTTAAATGGTTCACTTTCCACGTTTTCTCATTGCACATACAATAATAGCGATTGCGCCATGCTTGGACAGTTGAAAAAGCAATTAGAAGGAAAATCCGAGAACCAGCTCCGTGAGATAACCAAAAATGTACCTTATGTCACCTGCCTGAAGTTTAGAGATCATAGTAGCTGTCTGTACATAACTGCCTGCGTAGCAGAGAAATCACGACATACAAACACTTAAACATACCGTTGACTTGAGTTTGGTTCAAAAGCACTCAAAATACACGGATCACGCCTGCATTAACTTACAATGAGTTTACAAAGCAGGAAGACTGGGACAGAGAACTATCATAAAACTCTCATTCACCGCCAGTTATTTTTAAAAATAGTGGATTGGTGCTAGAGTGAATGCTGATTGACTATAAGCTAGCAAAATCGTGTCTCAAGAAGGCGAAAAATAGTTTTCGCTGTGATCCATCGATGAGGAAACATCCTAAAGCACATGAAGGGCATGACCCGATTCCATCCTCACCATCATCATCATCACCATCATCATCATCATCGTCATCATCATCATCGTCATCATCATGTCCATCGTCAACTGTAATAACCGCGTACTTGTCGTACATTTGTTGTAGCTGCCACAGCTTCGTGCATCGATGATTTGGGGAAGTGGGGCAGGTGACTGCGCATTGGAGGTGGGAGCTGATAAATTAGTGCGTAAATACAGCACTGTCATTGGATTGTTAAGTGAGGTTATTGGTAATGGAGCTATGCATTGAAGGCAGTAACTTGGATGCATGAGCGCCATTGTGGGCGCGACTGGGCCATGTCGGACAATGTCTCTAACCATTGATGTGGCCCCCCTTCTCGGGGTCCCCATCCAGAAAGACGGCAATGACCGGCGCAGCAGAGTTTGCTGGTAGTGGCTTTTATGCTTTCACGTTTCATGCATACATACTCTTCCATCCTCGAGAGCGGACAGTTCTACAAAGCTACTAATTGTTCCACAGTGGATGCCGACCCCCGATTGTTTGCCAAATCTGTCAGATACTAATCATCCAGTTCAAGGTGTTTTGACTGTCTCCTTTAATGTTGAGTACAGTGAGGCTACGGTTAAGGTGAGGTAATTATCCTTTTTTGTTGAAACAGGCTTTTTCTTTTTGCCGTGTTGTTTTTTTAGTAATTTCCATGAGATATGTCAATAGAAATTGATGAGTTGCTCGTGGTGAAACTCGAATGCTCGAGAGAGCGTTTAAATTCTGGTTTGAAACTCGAACCCCCTTTACACACTCTTCAAGAAAAGTGGATTCCGACTGAGACCTTTCAAGGTACCCTACCCCTTCGTCGATTCTTATTATGAGTTTTAATGAGATGTCAAAATGAAATCTACCACTCTTTAAAATGAAGAATGCATAGATAAAATATGTATTCTGGTTGGATACTTTTGAGCATGCGTTGTGTATAGCCCTTGGCCTTGTGCAAGTTATTGTTCCGGTTAGTCTCAAGTCCAATGTGTAGGTCTGATGTGGTTGCCTATCGTGCATTTTTGCTGCTCCTCTACTTTTTGCTACACAGCCCTGAGAGTCGATAGAAATTAGGGCTTGGCACGACAGAGTCGTCAGAAGTCTGTCACTTAAACCACAACTGTGAAATTGAAGGTAACATAAACCCCGTTGTCCTCACTTGTTCGCCGAGTGGTTTGCACGCGTTTCAATGAGGAGCTGAGAAGAATTCGCATTAACGCAGCCGAGTTCAGTCTAAGTATCAGCGCGAAGTTTGTTGCAAGGTTTCATTTCCCTTCACATTTCATCCTGCGTTTCATATTCGACAAAAGTTCGGTAGGGCAACACAGTACCCTCCTGAAATCCGGGTACTGTCGATGTTGGACTTCAGATGGACACTCGCTCTTACGAGGAGAATATTAACATACAGGATCAGTGAGCTGGCTCCATCAGTGGATAAGTGATGAGTTACCATGCCTTAGAGCTTTCTTGTGGTCTCAGCTGGTCTGCTGAAACATGTGTTACAGAATTACCATCTTAAGAAGGAGTTCCGCGAAATGCGTATGCTAAGACTACTGACTTTGACTAAAAACTATTCCGCTGGCTTTTTCTGTCGATCCTCAACAGTAAAGTTGGTAAACTGACCCTTATTGCACATGCATAAAAGTATCCAGGGTCCTCACGCAGAAAATCATGTACGCCAACTATGTGTATACTATATATATTTTATGCATGCGCCCTCAGGTGGAACCCTGTTGCACCAGTTGCGCTGTTTGCACCATTTATCAACACAATTACCAAGATATTGCAACATTTAGATTGATGTGATATATGCTTACGTGCCATATGGTACACCTAAAGGAATCTTGCGTTGAAACCCCGGTAGACTATTGGTAGCGAGCTCATTTTGATAACAACCAAAACCTTTCTAAGTGAGAATATATCGTACTTCTGTTCAACTTCTCGTCGTCGAACGGTTAGGTTTTCAACTACTACCCATGAGGTCAAGGGTTCGGGACTCTCCGGGGCTTTCTGAGATGCGCACTGTTGATGAAATTCCCAATAAGGACGAAACAGCTTTTCTGCATAGACTGGCCTCACTGACAGGATGGTATCTCAGTCGAAAATGACCTAATCCCACACTACGGTTAAACTACCACAATATTTTAGTGTGGTCACCTTGAGCACGGGGATACCTTACATTGTCCAACAATAACCTTCAGGCTGGCTTCTGCCGATCAGCTGACCTATCAGAAAGGGCTACAGTACGCAATTACTCACATTTACATACCAAACGGGTTTTCACGATGACCCATCTAAATCCCAGCTGAAAGTGCGATATCTTGAATATCGTTCTAGCTGAAACACGACGGTTTCAGGTGAATCTCTCGTGAAATACAAAAACAGACATGCAAGTGAGCGCATTTGTCGAATTTCGTGCAATTTGGGTTCAAGCAGAGCATAAGGGAGACAGAAACTTAGGAACCGTGCCTGCCTGGTGAGCCCCGGGAAGTGCGGAACCTGTCGTGGGCTGTCGAAGAGTTTTCAGCAACTTTAGGAGCAGCTTCTATCATGCAAACTGCACTAGGTACTCGTTGGAGAGCAGATCCACGGGATTGACTGAAAGCGTTCTTTCTAAAGGGGAGTTCTCCGTAAAGAAGGTTCGACCAATTTTAGCGTGTACAGGTCCAAAACAATCCTTATTGCTCCCAAGATTTTTCCTCTGGATAATGTGTCTATTTCTAAAATTTACCAAACTTGTTTCATGTAGGACTAATTAACCAAGGCAAAGTAAGTGGAATCATCTGTATACATTGAATAACTGACTGTTGCTGCGAAGGTACACTCGGCGAGTCACTCCATTCCGCCTGCCGTTTTTCCCCGACCCATCATCTTTATCGCAACGTCATCTGGTGAATGTGTGAACTTAAAAGTTGCGACACTTCAGAGGATCACCACATTGTAATGTGAGAACAAAGTACCCTTTTTGTTTGATAATCCACTAGTCGATCGCATTGTTCACTGTCAGTACCAGTTACTCAGATATCTCAGCTTCTGTGAGTGAACAGGATTTTCTCAATATTGGCAACCGCACGACTCGAAATCAAGGTGTTATCAACAGCTCCTAAAAGAAAATCACCGTCAGTCTTCACTACGTTGGCGCAGTCACGTGCAACCAGGTCAGCGTTGGCCGTCCTATTTCGCTGAGTGAAATCGTTCGGAGGCTCTGTATATGTCATATTTATCTGTTTAGTGGAACAATGTCGGCCATCCGGACAACACTGGTCAAGTCATTATTGTGGGGGTAATGTGGGAATTCTCAATAGAGATTTCGTCCTTTAGGTAAAGCGGTGAAAACCGAAAAACCGAAAAGCATTTCATGGCTGTTTCATCTTTATTGATCGTACTGTTGATCGGCTTCCAGCAGTCGAACGGCTTAGTACATGATTAGCCGAGAATTTGCGAGACTGGATCTCCCTTGAGATTTTTTAGATTCACGTTGCTGATGATTCTCAGTAAGGATAGTGTTTGTCGGCTTATTAACTTAGATTAGTTCCATAAAGTAAACTACTCACAGGGTTGCTGAGACCTCCTCGACAGCCCAAGACCGGTTTCGCCCTTCTCGGGGCTCATCATGTAGGCGCAGTAACCGAGTTTTCGTCAACCTTATGTTCTAATTGAACTCAAATTGGACTGTTTTCGAGAAATACACTCTTTATGAAAAAATACTGCGATATTCTGAATATCGTGCCAACTGAATCATTCACTTGTAGAATATCATAAACAAGAGATTCAGTTGAGTCTCTCGTGAAAACCAAATAGATTAGTCTCACAAGACGAAATCCCAACTGAAAATTCCAAAATCAACTCACACTACCAACGCTTTATAAGTAGCTTAGAAGGAAGGATGAACAATGATCACTAGTGCGACAAGCCATATATTGGTCACGCTTGGTTGACAAAAACGGTGCATTGGCACTACTTTACATTTTACCAGACTGCTCTCGCTGAAGAGGAACCAGTGAAAAACACGGGGCAGAAGGAAGACATCATATAGAAAGCATTGTCTACGGGGACGCTCTATCCATGTTCTGTACGCATCTCATAAGCATAAATGTCTACCCTGGTGTTAGAATGATGATTAGGAAACAGGCCGTTTGGACGCGTGAAGCAGGAGAGAAGAGTTAGTTAACGCCATGTCAAATCGTCCGGGAAGAGAAAAAAAGAGGGCTTTCGGTGATACATTGCTTGTTAAGGTGTGTACCGATTCATCATTGGACAGAGAAATAGTTATACTCTGAAAAATGCCATTCAGATATGCACGGAAAAGACAACCAGGCAATCAAACAGTTCCCCATTAGACAGAAGGCTAACGGTATCAGCCCGGCTTTTCCGGTCGCTCACTGGTTGTACATAAGTATCCGTGTGCCTAGAAAGCTCATCTTCATCAGTTTCTCAATGTCACTGACTTCTTGTGCGATCTTTACTCAGTTTTACTATTTATTCCTGATTTTCTGATAATTGAGTGGCAGACTTCCGTACTTATTGACTGATGTTTTTACTTACTTCAAGCTGAAAAAGCATACTCTCACTGGTGCTAGACTTTTCATCTAACCGACCTTAGAACCTGCCTGAATGCTTCATCCAGCGAAGACAATAAATTTGGCCTCTCAAAGAGTAGATGAATATCGATGAGGAAACGAAGTCTATCTGATCTATCCACTGATGTCAGCCGTTCGAAGCCCACTATGAACTGCTACGCCGATGGTTTGGCAACATGTACATGTGAAAATAACTCAGCAAAACCATGCACGCTTGAAATTGCTCTGTACGTCAATGCTCAGCTTGTGACATCGACTATAACGTTTTTTTTATGGACGCAGATGGTTGATGCAAAATGGCAGTCCTGATGTTCTATTTAATTAGCATTTTCATAGGGTGAGACGTGTGATCTGACGCGGTGGCTGTCTATTCACTCGGCTGAACAGGATGGCCGCTTCGACTTCGTAAATCGCCTATCCAGATCAGGTACATAGGAGTACAAACCACCGTGCCATTTGCACGGGGCAACTCTCCGTCAACCGCTGTTACATATGGGATGGTTTCTACATGGGCATTGTACTCATTCGGTGAACGTTGTACCACTAGAATGCTAAATTCATACAACTGCCAAAATGCACTTTCACTTAAAGGGATATACTATATATCGATTAGAAGTCGCATACGAAAGCGATCGATTTGTTCCTTTTGGCATCCTACAACACACACAGCCCCAGAACTGAGTGTGACCTTTGAAAAGAACATCGCCAAACTTTGAGAGAACAAACCACTTTCCGTTCATATTTTGTTCCATGCAGCACGCAGATGTTTCGATGTCCCATACTTGAGTGCTGAAAAATTATTATAGCTGGGTGTGGTTAACTTTGTTCGGCTCAGGTAAACGACGAAATCGCATTCAGGGGCGGAAAATAGTCTTCAGTATCAGTCATATATTCGGTAATCTCAACACTTGACTCCTGAAATGCACCAATTGATGGCTCCACCCTAAAAAGTTCGTTTTCCGTGAAAATCCCGCTACATGAAAACCAGGGATTGTAGTGTTTCGAAAGTAAGCAGGTGTCAGCATTCAGATGCAATCGACTATCTGTTTCGAGAAAACTTATCTGTAGCTTTTTTATTATACATCAACCACAAAAAATAGATTAATTCCATGTCTGTGCTTCCTTCGATTTCAGGACAACAAGACCTTCAATATTTCTGCATCAGAAAGTCCCGATTATTTGGGTGACAGACCTGAACATGCAGTTTCCCATTTCCACCCACTCATGCGAGAGCACATTACTTCTTCCTATGGCTCAGAAGCGGCTGTTCTCAACACAGAACTTTCCCGTCTCCTTTCACCAACAATCAAGACACTTTGGAGTACAAACCGTCTGGATGACATGTGCCCTGACGTCTCCCATCTTTCTCAAATGAAGTACACGACAGATTTTTTGAATTCCTCTCAGTCAGTTTACCCGATAGGTGATATCAATGCGGACAGGTTGTTCACAGCTGTGGGAGCCAAGTATCCGGAAGCTTACTTCACGAAAGTCTGATCCCAGCAGCACAGGAGCAGAGAGAAGTTCCTTCCACCGAAATAGACGACAAAGCCAAAGACCAGATGCCACAAGTATCGAAATTCTTGGACCATTCTTCAATTGTACATAATGAACCGTCTAAAAAGATCATTCCTCCCTACTACTTTTTTCTTTTGAGCACAATGGCCATGGCATATCAGCTTATTTACCCTTTAACAGCAGAGTCTGAGCTGCACCAAATTTAATGTGAAACATTGCAACGTTAATCACCCTGCCGAAAAATTATGGACGTTGTGTTCCAGACTCCACCCGAAACCAGTCCGCTCTGTTGTTGAACCTAGAAATTGTCCTTGACAGTTTGGAGACTTACATTATTTCAAATTCCAACGAAAATTTTGTTGATAGAATTCCATCTTAGTGAAATTCCTCTGCTCATTGCATGTTGAGATGCAGCATCAGGCCCCCTTGGTAGAAGAGAAATCCTCATCCAACGCAAGATGTAGGAGATGTACACCACTAACAATTATTAAAGCGATGGACAGACTGCAGGTTGTCTTCAACATAGATCACAATCATACTACTCTACAGGAAGTCATTTTTACCAATCACTCATTTGAGCGCTGAAGGTTCGTAAACGGTTAACCTCCTAGCCGTATTCCAACTCCTTCAAAATGTTTTCGGATGAGTGCCACCACTGCTTAGGAAATGAAGCAGCAGCATAGTGTTCCTCGGCTTTTGAACGACACTTAGCCCGCGAAATGAGTGCTCCCTTCAACACAGTTATGCTGCTTGATCAGGATCATGTATGACTTGTTGTTAAACAAATTAAACTGATCATTCAACGTGAAATCAAGAACAGAGTGCCTTAGTTAAGCTCAACATACATGCTGACTGAGTGATATCTCAACTGAAAGCGAGTTTACGACACCTATCCACTTTAATGAATCTTTAGTGGGAGTTCGGAAGGCAATTGAGCGGAGTATGAAGTGTGATGCATCCAGGTAAGGCACAAATCAAAAGGACTGGAAAGTACTGATCAGCAGTGAACTCAAAAGGCCATCACAACGCGCACAGAAGCCAAACAGCCAGGATAAAAAGGAAATCTCGGAAGACCCCTGGCAGCCTTATGCATACTGTACTTAAAACCAGGTCCCCTATCATGCGAAAAACTGATTCGAAGGCTTTGCTCAACAAGCTAACACAAACCTTCATGAATAACAAGCAAAGGTCAGTTTTTGTGAGTCTGACTTTAGCACAGCTATCGAGGCTGCTCAGAAGTAACGTATTGCTACTTGAGTTTACTGCTGTCCGAATGTGGTGAGCACAGTGGTCAGCAGAACTTCGGCATTTGTATGAACATTGTCATCTCAAACAACAGACGCCTGAGTGACAACTGGACCCGAGGCATGGGAACACCATTAGAGTTGTTTTGATACAATGTGAAAACTCCAAGGAGTTTACTCAAAGGAAATTTGTTGAACATTCGCAAGGTAAACAATTTGGGTTTGGAGCGAAAAACAAGATGAACGGAAGATACGAATGCAAATGAACACAGGTTTCACAGGAACTGGCAAATCTGAGGTCAAAGATGAATGGTAATGTGGAAGTCGCTGATTACTGTTGGGTTGTACGGACCATTAGTGTGAGTTATGGCGGGAAATGGGACACGTAACTTTTCTCAAAGCAACCGATAGCTAGGTTCAAACCGACCAAGAACAGCGGGGTTTGATTCCTTATGATTAACAGGTCCACTGAATCGACTATCAGCACTGACCCAACAGCTGATGCACGGATAGTCCGTTTTGCGATTCCTATCATACGCTTTTACGTCACAAATCCTATGGCTGGTGCGCAGTTAAAAATCCATCAGTCACTGAATAAAGCCATCGGTTTTAGCCTTCTGACAGATTCGATCCATTAATTCAGTTACAGTTGAAAGCCGGTTTTGAAAAGCTTTCCTGTGCCAACTACCTCGATCTTCCGACCACTCAAAGGTGCACCGCTCCCCATAGAATAATCGAAATCAGTTGCACCGTTCTATGCAGGCATACCGTACGGTCCACCACAATCTTTCATGTGACGATGTGCGTATTTCATCCTTACAGAAGGTGGGGTTTTCACTAACGAACGGCGTAACCCCAGCTCGTATTTTGTTGATGATATTCACTATGGACGACAGGGTTCTTCACACTTCTTTCACCTACTCCACTTTTTTTGAAATCCTACCAACAAGAACCCGCCTAACGTTCCCTCATCAAGTCAAATCATTTCACACCAGAAAGCACCAAAATTGTTAGAAAAGAGCTCCAAACCTCATAACTGATGAGTTCTGAAAGTTAGGAACAGGGTAGCAGAATACTTTGGTTACAATTCAGTTGGCCTTAGAGGCAATTTTCCGGAATACTGTTGGTCGGTGCGCAACATTCTGTAGAAATAATGAGCTTGATGGCGCTCTATCATACTTTTGATTTTTAGTTTCAAAAAGGGTTAGGGCAGAGTAGAAATCCCCATTGTCAGGTATGGCCGAACGGTTCCCCTGGTTTGTCAGTATATTAAACGTTGTACCGAACCTAGATCCTACTTATCAGGTTAATGAAATAGCAAAGTTGAGAGCCGCATTACATTCTGATACAAGTTCTGGAGCCTCATTGTGGGTGTCCTTAACCTTCTTCTTTGAAATGTATGACTGGGCCGTTCAGGCAGCGCTTCCCAAGGATGTCCGCACCGGTGCGGATAGAAGGAAACAAATTCATCACTTCACTGTGGGCGAGATTACACACCCTGAAGGTGTGCAAATGTTGCACTTCGAAAACTCCATGGGCCCTTTGGCATTTTCGATGTCTTCCGGGAGTAGCCCTCTAAACTGGCGAGATCGGTGGCATAACTGTATAATCGTTTTCCCGGTGCTTAGCCAACTCAGGTGGTGGGAACTCGCGTGCACTCGATCAGAGTTACCGGTCTATCTTGGACAAGTAACCTTATTCCTTAAGTTTTGGGAATGTCATATATACAGGTGTCGCCTTTCAATTTCTTTAAAAAGTAACATAGACCAGGATAGTATTCTCTCAAATCGCTGTAGAACCCTGTTGAGTTGCGTTGAGAACGAGAAGTGTGTTTGAAGGGCTAATCTAGTTTAGTAAACGGTGAAAGATCGAAGTACTGAGTATCATTTCTTTCATAGAATCAACGATAAATTAAACTATTTTAAATACTGCATTAGATTGAATTCCTATCTGTGATAGCGACTTGGCTCAGCCTCTGGCCCAGGCTCGGCGAACAGATCAACAGCCACCTGATTAAATACCCACGGAAAACCGTACACGGATTAGAACTTTCAAACATGGCTAAATGGGTGCGGACAATCATTGGTCAACTGGAATGTTGACGGTGAAGATAAACCAGGCAGAGTGATGTGAGGCAATCATCAGTACAAAGTTTGAGACTGATTAATGTTTGTCCCCACTGTCCTGTTGTGGGGGACAACGTGGGATACAGGGATGGCCAACTCACAGAGGACTGGCTGAAGGCCATTAGCAAAAGAGCAACTAGGTATGAAACCCACTGGTCCTGGAGTGTTTAGTGAAGTAGGTAGATACAGTCTAGTGGTCATCATTGTTTTTCTCCACTTGGTAAAAAAACAAAGTGGTGCCTGATTTTCACAGGAACGTCGAATAGGTTGTTCCTAATAAAGCCTGCTTGTGTGTATAGGAGGACCTGCATGTGCATATCGCCATTTTAACCAGTAGTTCAAAACTGTCTAGTTTGCGGACCGATGATTTTTTGGACCGTTTAGGACGCTGCGTACTCCATCAGGAATGTTTTGTTAGGCTACGGAAAGCGACAAGGGCCAGCTACTAGATTACAGCCCCTAAAAGTTCCCCATCCTTACATGGTTTGATTTGCTCGCTTAGCTGATAAACTGACCGGTTCAATAACTTGCGAGTAACCACAGCCTTTGCTTAAATATCCCCACATCACTATTGTTCTAAAAGTCACCGGATATCCTGATCTATATCCTAATCAGCAAGTAGAAGAACCTTCTTCGCAGACGAACTCGAAGGGACCAGCCCGACCATTTCTTGAAAGAACATGTTACTAAAAAGGTCACTGAAAACTCTTCCACAGCTAGTTTAATCAAGTGTTTGTGGAATTTCATCAACTCTGCGAAATACTCAAACATTTCAATGAAAAACCAACTAGAATGTATTCCAGCAGACTACAAAATTTACAATTTCTCACCCGTTCGTTAGAGAAAGTGTCTCGCTCGCATGAAAATTAGATTTGTCGCCCGGTGGTGTTCGAACTTTTGTCTAACCGAAGTACATATCTATAAGAATACAAGGGGCGCATTGATACCAGCCCCTTAGGTTTAACTATACCCGAATCATGAAACAGAGAAAATCTTAAACTACTGCCTAGGAGGTCGAGGGTTTGATTCTTTGGACATCTGTGTGGTCCGTAGTGCTGATGATTCCCAGCGAGGATGAGGCAGATACACTCTGTACCGACAGACTTTAATTACAACAGGAAATCTCGAAGGACAGATAAACGAGCTTGAAAGTACAAGGGATCTACCTCTTTATACACCAATTAAAATTATAAAAAACGTGTTCAGCGCTGAAATAGAACATGTGCACGGAGCTCTGAAGTGTGTATAAATCAAATGTATTTACAGGCGGAAAGGGCTTCAGTAGTTTCATCTAACAACCGTTCAGGGAACTTTTCGATCGGAACAGACTGCACAGGATCCGGTTTATCAACTGGTATCTCCTCAGAATAGTTGGGAGTTTCTTCTTTTTGCAAGCTGAACTGAGCTGTAGCTCGGAATACGGGGAGATGCTCATTTAATAGCTGCAAACTCTTCTCAACCATGGCTTTCTCCTTTTTCCGGAAACTCTTCGATTTGTTTTTCGGATGAGCACCTTTAGAACGTTTCTTCGAACGAGACATTAGATTACTTCTTCACTAGGGAGAAGCCTGGAAAAACGGAAATGAAAATGTCAGCAGACCGTACAAACGAGTATTTAAATGATTAGGTAAAACAATTGTAAACACATGTGTGCTGCTTTGGATACGAAACTGCTAGCTATCTTTAGTAAGGAACAAATTTAAAGGCATTCACCAAGGCGCACAGCGGCAAACCGTGCGTTATACTGAGCTAGGGCTGGCCCTGAGAGGATACACTGACACATCTTCAATCCAAGAACCGTATGTCAGCGCATCACGGAACGGTTGTGGGACGCGGTAGCATTCGTTATCACGGACAGGTGAAAAGAAATATCGTAAAAGGGTATATGGCTCTAGATAAGGGGGTTATTAACAGGATGAAACAGTGAAGAAAGCACATCGTGTTGAAGTAGGAAGTATTTATAACTAACAGCGCCCAATACAAGTCAACGACAATAAACTGTACGCGGACATTCTGGATAAGATGAGACGACGCTGCCTCATTTTGTAAGATTTGTAATCACATAGAGACTGGACAGGTGACGCACAACCACAATGCATAGCTTGATGCTCACAGCCCTCATATCGTGTTGCAAACTCAACCCTTGTCTTCTCCATGAACTTTCGAAGACAAAGGTTATGAATGGAAAACGGCTACTTACTCGGTTGAATGAATGCAACCACCTTCGATACCAGTGCCTCTATATCCCGCAGGAGTTGTATGGCAGCAAAGCATGAATGATGAACACCGATGTTATGCTACCGATGATGACCACCTTATACAGCAAGCTCAATTTGCTGTTGTGATGAATACCACTCACTACCAAATGCTCAAGCAAGAATCGGCCAAGCACGGTTCAGATGTGCTGAAGCAGTCCAACACTTGCTATGTGATGAGGTGACAAAAATTTGTGGAAAAAGTTTGAAGTCCCAGCATTAGCGTGCTAGTCTCACAGTCATGGAGTAGGAGTATGTTCACAGTTGCATCGCAACAGTGAAATCCGCTTCCGGCGACAAAAATCAAACAGTCTCACAAATACTTACTGAACGCTGATAATACGTGTATTGATTTTATTTTCAAGATCATGGTTTAAGGAGCTGTCAAAATAGGGTTGGCGGTCAACAACGCTCGCACTTCTGAGGCTCCAAAAGAATGATAGGAGTCTGGACTTCACGCGGTAGGAGTGCGCACTTTAAAAGTGGAAAAAGCGTGCCTGAACAAAAGGCCACTCCAGATATTCCATTCATATGATGACCATAAAACAAAAAAAATGATTCTCGTCCCAGCTCTTCTTAGAAAGTTAGTTCGGTAACTAGATTCTTGGCCCCTTGGACTGTGCCCTCCATGATGACTTTGACCACAATATTAAACAAGGAGAAGGGTAGGATGAAAATAGTAACACTAAGAAGCAAAAAAATATTTGCAAATTGCGGGCCACTCGGTTTCAACTTCGTACGTATCGGATCGAAAATCTATCCACGGAGCGATCAGCAAGTTTGAAGTCAGGATAAAAGGAGGTCCTCGGTGGACAGTACGTAGAAAATTGTCAAACATTTGACGTAATATGGGTGAGTGGTGTTTCATCCCCTGATTGGTCTAAAGCTTATTTCATCCCATCGAACTTGCGCCTCAAGTACTGAGGTTCAGAATCGCAGTATGATTATAGCCAATGTCCGTGTCACCTGTATTTCCCTAAAGTGAGGGCGGTTGCTGCTTTTATGAATGGGGTTCCTCGGAGAACCGTTTTGTTCTCTAATTAGTCTAAGCCAACCGGTCAGGGTAAAACAAAAACACCAATCATCGTTTGTAACACGGGTAAAGAAGCTTCGCAGTTCGATGGAGTTTTAAGACATGTTAGTACTGCAGGAATTATAAAAGGGGGGCTAAATCTATGGAAGAAAGCTCGGTTCAAGCAGGTGAGATGGAGGATACAAACAGAGGTCCCCGACCAACTAAGCGAGATGGCTCAAGTGTTTAGAGCGCGAATATACTGACCAGAAGGTCCGTGGATCGAATTCAACCTCTGCCTCTCCCCTGTTTAGGCTTGGGCAATTTGGCAGTAACCCAGCCCTCATGCTTCCTTCGAGTGGCATGGCAGGTAGGCACCAAAAGGGTGTTACAGCTGAACGAGTGCAGCGACCAACTAAGCAGCCCGTAGAATATTTAATTCTTGGGGCTGTGACGGTAATTTCTATTGTGCAACTCATTTCAAGAATTATTTGGTTATGGAGTGAAACAGCTTCAACACAATCCGTTTCTAGATCTCTGATTCACCCAAGTTTCCGCACCCATGTGTAACATGTCCTGAATGGACTATGCTCGGTGTCCGGAGGGATATGTGGTAATGCGTCAACAGTGACCCATTGGTTGACACCAACTGCCTATAGGATATGGACCTGGAAACCCATCATTGAGATCTCTGCTACTGTGTCTTTGGTGAAACTGCCTTCTTCTGACGATTCGTCTTTTAGGATTTTGTGGTAAGTGGTTGACTGACTAGCCGATTATGCGCACTTGTCGGTCTATTATAGTCACCTAAACTAAATAAAGCACCTTCCGTTGTTTCCGAATTAGAATTCCATGCTCGAGCATACCAAGCGATATGGACTGTATGTACCCCAACACTACACCTTCACAGATGCTTGTCCTGCTTATACGAGTGTTGCAGGTCTAACGAACCAAAATAAATAACATATCCACCAGTACACTACAGGAACATAGTGTAGTTGTTTTCTGGGACGACTGCATTGGCCGTTGAACTGCTTCTTTGCAGTAAATGGGAATGATAGTGATTCAAATTAGATGGAACCTGTTTTGGGCATCTGTCTTTCCACGATCGGCGAGCCGATACGCAGCCTATCCACATCATATCTATTACACAGTAAAGTCTAATGGACTCGTATCCAAAAAAAACCAGACTACTGTACACCAATTTTATCTTCTTCCCGCTGAGCAAAATGAAGGTGATTTCCTGAGATAAGTGGTAACTCCACTGCTAGAATTGACGGAACACCGTGAGTCAGGGGAATTGAGTATGGACAGACAGATTTTTGGAGTAGAAATTTGTTCGATTATAGCACTGCGTTCAACAGGTTGATTTTGTAAAATGCTGCTCCCGATGCCAACAAGCTGCCAAGAATCCGCCACACCAACCACCGGTTCCCAGGCATCGACCTGAGAAGACTTGGTCTCGCGTCCACATTGATTACGCAGGACTGACACATGGCGCTTCCCATTTGCCGTCACGAAGAGACCGGACCTTGCCGTGGTGTGACGGTTTGCGCACCTCAGCGATCCATTGAGCTATACTGGAGAGTGTCCTGTGACACTCACAGAGTCTCTCATACCAGGTTGGTCAATGGTTAGAGGTCTGACGAACACAGTCTCCTGGCCCTCCAGGTTGGGGGTTGGAACATGTGGCGACTTGTTCCGTAGAAATGGTAATGCATTTGCATTTCCCGCCAAACACCAAAATACAAAATAATCGTTCAGCTGTAGCATTCTTCCGGTGGCTAGCTGCCATGCCACCCGGAGGAAGCACGAGGGCTGGGATACTGCCAGGTTGCCCAAGCCTAGACAGGGGAAGTCGAGTTCGAACCACGGACCTTCTGGTCGGTAAATTTGCGCTCTAACCACTTGGGCTATCTCGGTTAAATATAATCATAAACGGGAGATTCAATCCAGTGGCACTCGAGTCTCTCGTCAACATTATATTAATCCTAAGATAGATTTCCGAATTCACTTTCGCAAGGTTCGGCACGATTCCGTCACGAAGAGACTGGACCTTACCGTGGTGTGACGGTTTGCGCACCTCAGCGATCAACT